TGGATCTTTGGTTGTTCGGGTTTTCTCCCACGTAAGATTCGAAGTCTGAAGATGATGAATGAGACTTCATCGAAACGTTGCCTAGATACTTCGAATCTTACGTGGGAGAAAACCCGAACAACCAAAGATCCATATAATATTATAATATATATTATATAATATATATATTATTATATATTATCAGAAGCCTGATGATGGCAGATGAGATTCTGCCGAAACGTTGCTACAACTTTAAAAGCAGAACTATAATGACGTGGGAAAATACCTGAACAAAGCTGAATACCATACATGTACATGCATGCATACATACATATATATATACATACATATATATATATATATATATACAGAGAGAGGGGGAATTAAGGCCTGGCGTGGTAGGGAGCCTGAAGGCTGGGGAGAGGAAGGCCGTCTTCTACTACGTTAGGAGCTTCAATTAGAGTAGCTGAATAATCAAGCGGCATCTGTGTTCTTAACATTTCCCAGAATCGTGGACCCCCGTGGCATTAGTGGCAGCCTGACACGCTCCTGAGATAGTTTTAGAAGCTCCCTCCCTCCCCCTCCCACAATGTCTCCGCTCTAGCTGTTCAACAGTTCTTGGAGACCAAGTGTAATTTGCAAACACTTCTGGGGCTGGTGGAAGTTTGATTCTCATTTGAATACCTAAACAAGAGCAAAGGAGAAAAACAACAACAACAAGGAAAAAAAGCAAGCGAAACCGAGAAAGTCATTATTTCTCCAGTGTCTTGTCTACTCTCAGAAAAAAACAAACGACAGGTGGCCAGGAAAGAAACTTTCTGAGCATCACACCCTCTCAGGAGACGTCTGAAAACCAGTTGCCAATTTCCATACAAGGTAATCCTGGACTTACCACCATCATCGGGACTGTACCTTCTCTTGCTAAGCAAAATGGTTATTAAACAAACTGCACCCAATTTTTGCTGCTGTAGTTGTTTAAGTGGAATCAGAAGGTTGTTAAGTGAATCATGTGGTTGTTAAGCAAATCCAGCCCCCCCCACCCTTTGGAAGCCTGTTGGGAAGGTTGCAAATGGTGACTCTGGGATACCACAGCCATGGTAAAAACGTGCCAAATTTTGACCATGACAAAATTTGTGACAGTCGTAAACGCGAGGACCGGTTATAAGTCACTTTTTTTTTAGCACTGTCTTAACTTCCCACCGTCATTAAACAAATGTTTAATGTGTTGAGGATTACCTGTATTGCAACTGTTGGAAGAAATATCCATCTGATTTAGTTCCAAGTCGGGAAAAAGACACTGGAAACATGGAGGCTGCTTGGAAAAATAGTTTAATGATGAAGCGCAACCACCAAGCACATGGTTCTGGGCAGCTGACCACATGGAGTTGAGTGTATGTGTGTGTGGGGGGGTGTTAATGTCTTCTCTTGGACTTTGCCCTTGAGCTTCCTGTTCCTGTGCAAGAACATGTGTTCTATTGGCTGTTGTAGGGATCATAGCTGGCTCTGTAGGTTGTCTGAGCTAAGTTTCATTGAAGTTTGGACTCTCTGAGATGATGCAATGAAGAGGCTTTGGGCAATTCCTATTGTGGCTGAGGGCTCATCCTACCTTCGTTGGCTCTTGGGTATTTGCTTATGAGTAGACCTATCTATATCTTTATCTCTTAAGTGCTGGCATCTGCTGAGGGCTATTAAGAAAGGTGGGGGCCTGCTTTCTGTCTCCAAGAGCATGTTTCCCCCTTTAGGGAAATATAATATTCTGCCTTTTTAATATTTCCCAAAAACATTTCATTCTTTTTAGCACCGTCCTAACTTCCCACTGTCGTTAAACAAATGGTTTAACGTAAGTCAAGGGCTATCTGTATTGTACAAACCGAAGCCGTTGCTTTCCAAAACGGAATCCGCTCTGTCACGTTTCCTGTTAATATTTTGATCAATGTACTTAAAGCTCCCCAAATAGCGATTTCTCACAAGATCATTAAATGGGCCTATAAAGGTTTCCTGTTCGTTGAGCATCCGGATCTCCCTGGGGAGTTTTTAAGCTGACAATAAGAAAAACCTACGCACGTTTGAACAATATTGTCTACCAATCCTTATTGGCCTCTTTGGAGCAATTAACAATTTGTTGCTTTGTACTTTTAGACGTTGTTTCTGTTGCTATTGAAATATGTACTTAAGATATGAGGCAGATTGTTGTGTGTGTGTGTGTGTGTGTCGCAGTTTATATATTTACACCCATGTGGAGACTCAAACCTACAGTCCTCGGCTTAAGACTGGTTGTCCTAAAGGTTGTTCTTGTTTTTTTTCCCAAGAGGCAGCTGGACTTTCTTTGCTTGAAGACGTTTCGCTTCTCATCCAAGAGGCTTCTTCAGTTCTGCCTGGATGGTGGGGAATGGAAGGATTTATACTCCTTGCAGACAGCTGGTCATTTGCATCCTTTCTATTGAGTCATTGAGGCCACTTGGAGGTTTATCTGTGCCCTCAGGGTCACCTGTGTAGTGCAAATGGGTGTGGAGCCTTCTTGGAACTGCTGAAAGTATTGTAAACAGGAGAAATAGATGGTATTGTTTCTCTCCCCCTCGGTGGAGGGGAGGCTGTTGAATTTTAACATAGATGGCCTCTTTGATCCCTCTTTCAAGCCAGCGGTCCTCTCTGTCCAGAATGTGGACTCAGAGGTATTATTCAGCAGGTTCGGACCAGTTCTGGAGAACTGGTAGCAGAAGTTCTGAGTCGTTCAGAGAACTGGCAAATCCCACTTCTGACTGGCCCCGCCCCCATCTATTCTCCGCCTCCCATTGAGTCCCAGCTGATTGGCTGGATCTTCTTTGGTTGCCCTGCACAGGAGAATGGAGCTGGAAAGCAGGCTAGCAGGGTGGAGAGGGAATGGAGAATTTAAAGTATCCTTTCCATTGTAAAAATGGTCGTAAAATGGAATCTGGTCATGTAGTGCCTTGACGTGTGATTCCAATGACTTACAACCAAAGTTCCTGGCTCCATTGTTGTAGAATAATGTTAATTTTTAGTTGTGGATTTAGTTGGAATGGCCAACTGTTGGATTGTGGAGTTAAGTCTACTTCCATTTTAAATAGTTCTGAAGAAGTTTTTCTAGAAGTAACTATAAAAAATTAAGGACTACTATAATGGCCCATCCTTATTCTTGGATATTATACGGAGGGAAAAGGAAGCATGCCAGTTTGAGTCAGGCTCTTCGTATCTTCATGCAAAATTCCTATAAATCTTTAACGTCCCCTATGCCAGTTTTCAGTTTTGCATGTCATACTAAATCTGCAGTGACATCCGTCTGTTGAAAGGAATTAACAGTCTCTCGCTTCCTGAAACCAGTTCTCCCTTTGACCTGTCCAGAAGTCTTCTTTCAACCCTCCCCCTCCAAATTTTAGCACAGAACACGAATAATGCATTTCCAAATGCATATTAAAATTAGGTTCAGTAGCTGGGGAATTCTGGGAGTTGAAGTCCACAGGTCTTAAAAATTGCTGAGATGGAGGAAGACTGCCATAATCAATTTGGGAGGAGCCGGTGTGAGTTTTATCCTCGGGCTTTTGGTGTTACCCAGGTTTTAAATCATGCCTTTGTTTATATAACCATCATTGCCTCCGGCTAACTTCTCCAAAGTCATCTGTGCAACTGCCAGCAGAAATCCGTCAGAAACGCAGAGTCAGTTCTGCAAATTATTTTTTTTTTAAAAAAAACTTTCCTTAAGCTGGTCTACCAGCACTTTCTCCATCCTTGGGCTTCTTTCCAGAGATTTCTTGGTTCTGATACGCTGCAAAGCAGAGGAACTGAAGAACTCAATTGGGAGAGGCTCGTATTAATGGCGGTGCCCTAGTTTGTGCCAATGTAAGCGTAGCCCACGGCTGGATAGCGTGGTTCACTGTGGTGTTTTTTTGTTTTTTTTTAAATAAAGTTTGGAGCGAAATTGATTTTGAAAGGTAAGGACAGGGGCTGTTTCTAGGAGAAACTTTTCCAAACCAACAGAGTTTTTGTTAACTCGCTGTGCCACCTTTCTTCCTATCAGTGGTTGTAATAGGTAGCCTTACAACTAATTGCTTAACTACTGTTTGAAATGATGACCGACCTGGAAAAGAGGCTCAGATTCCAAGCTCAGTTTCACAGTTTTGACGATCTGGTCAGAGGTGGTGAATTCAGCAGGTTCTGACCAGTTCTGGAGAACCAGTAGTGGAAATTTTGAGTAGTTCAGAGAACTGGCAAATATCACCTCTGCCTGGTGATTTTACAGTACCCTCCTTCCCCTGCCACGCCCACCAAGCCACGCCCACAGAACCGGTAGTAAAAAAAAAAAAATTGAATCCCACCCCACTGGCATGGTGCCTCTCTGCCAGCGAAAACGGAGCCCTTCCCCCAGCACTCCATTTTCACTGGTAGAGGGGCTAGCCAAACAAACTTAAAAACAAAATGAAAGAATAAATATTTCTTCCCCTTTTGCATTGGAGCATGGAAGAAGGGACAGGAAAGGAGAAAGG